GCGTCTCTGCGGCGCGCCCGGCCTCGAGGTTCCTAGTCGCCAGCCGAGAGGACGCGGCTGTGACACAAAGGTAAGGGGCCTTGGGGTCTCCTTCGACCCTGCGAGGGGGGGCGTGCATGGATCGGGGAGGGTGGGCCAGGGAGGGCAAACAGGGTGCACCCACCCACTGCAATCGAGGCGATGCCCACTGACCACCCCACTGAGAGCCACGTAGGGTTTCCGTGGCTGTCTGCAGGGAAGCGGAGATACCTTATGCGTTCTCCCGCGGAGCTGCTGGTGGGTTTGAACCATAGACCTTGTGGTTAGCAGTTTAATGCTCACCGACAACGTTATTGAAACATAAATAAAATGAACATAAATGTGGGTGGGGAGAACGATACTTTTTCTTTCCAGCTCTTAGGAGTTATGCTTAGAATTGAAATAGATAACAGAATGGGATTTCCCCAAATCCTAAACGCTACCCAAAGCTTTAGAATCTTAGTTGCCCATTGCCGGTACAATTCCTTTTTTATTCCTGCCTGCTGCACGAGTAAACTGGGTAGAAGATTCCCCACCATTAAAATTTTAAGCTCATTGTTGGTCTCCCAGTAAATACTTGTATTTAGGAATATGTAGTTGTACCAAAAACAAAAAAGTTGAGATGTAGCTAAATGAATGTACCAGTGCAATTCCTAGGGCTTCCCTAAAATGGAACAATAACCGTACAGGTATATGGGAATCTGCTTTATGTAGTGGTATCACTAAAGGGATGATATTTCAACGAGCCTGCAACATACCGTAAGCTGTTTTTCTTATCAGTCATTTGAGTAATACTGTTTTAAATTTATGTCATCAAATGCAGGGCCTGGTTGAAACAGTAAAGCTCATTAGCCAACAGATTGAAACACAGATGAGAACGATATAAACAAAAAGCCTGTGTTTAAGAGATTACTGTGGAACAGAAAAAGCCACAACATGCTATCCCTGTTTTCTGAACCTTAAGGTGCCAAAAGACAGAGGGGCTGCTGCTTTTTATTGTTTGAAAGGGAGTGTGTGTGGGATGGGGTCAGATAGATAACCCTTAGCATAATGGCTACTCATAGGGATCAAATACTTAACTACTTTTCTGGAGTGGAATTCCAGCCAGATCCATTGCTGTCAAATCAGTTCTGACTCCTATGACGCAGCACCCAGAGGTGGCATCTGCTTGATGGCAGGGACTGAGGCAATCTAAAGGGTTTTCTAGGCAATACAGCTGTCGGAGAGTAGACTGCCACATCTTTGTCCCAGAGTCACTGACGGCTGACTTCTTAGGACCCTTAGTGTAGTGGTTAGGCGGTCGACTGTGATCCACATGGTTGGCGGTTCGGAACCACCAGCAGCTCTGCAGGAGAAAGACTGAACTTTCTACTCCTATAGACAGTTGACAGTCTCGGAAACCCACAGGGAGGTTGCTATGAGTCAGCATTGAGTCGATGGCATTGAGTTTATTTAGCAGGGCACTGCTTTAACCACTGCGCTACCAGGTGTTTTGCTTATTGGAATAGAGCCCTATATGTCACTTAAATCATTGATTTGTAGAATATAAATTCAGTGTACAAATTGAAAAGAAAAAGAAATTTAAGCAAAAGTTTCTATTACACAGACTTCTTGTCCAGAGCATAATCAGGGTACAGTCATTTTGTGGGCACCACAATATTTTGGCAGACTAAATTACCACAAAAGCTATTTTTATTTCTCACATTTTTTATGGCACACATACCTTTGTTTTATTTTGAACTTAGACATGTGCTTGGTATCATAATCATGATCTTATGTAGCTCAAAGTGGGATTATTTGTGATTTAGCTAATCAGATTTGAGTATTTGATGAGATTTTTAAGACAAAGAAGCATCACGATTTTGTAGTTTTTGTTAATATTAATTGGGAACTTTCACAGGTTCCTCAAAAGTAATTAATGAAGATATGACTTATCATCTAAAATACTTACCTTTTAGACTGTTGAATTGTCTTAAAATGTGTGTTTTTGGCTTCTGTTAGCTGAACGGTGAAAGGTGCTTTCAGAAAGGACAGGTAGACTTCAGGAGACTTTAGTAGCTTTCTTTTTTTCTGATTCAGGCTGTCTGCGTTCTAGACCCAGTGCACACTCAATCTGCAGAATAAAT